ATCATCTACTCAAAGTCATCCAAAGATGTGAAGCCCACGACCTTCCTACCTTCCTGATCGGGAGCCCAAATACTTCATTTCACGGAAATGGACTATTTCAGTCCAGTCCAAAATACTTCTCCAGTCACTTGTCTGTCTCCTTTTGAAAGTGTCAATCAGTGAAGGTGGGGATCGTCCTTTATTCGGCTCTGTATTCCCAGTCAGGAGCCCTGGTGGTGCAGTGGGTTACACGTTGGTTTGACAACCCCAAGGTCAGAGATCCACACCCAGCACCAGTGGCCCCTCCCTCTATCAAGTGTGTAGATGTAAGCTCTCTCTCTCACACACACATACACACACACACACACACACACACACACTGCCATCCTGTTGATGCCAACTCACAGCAACCCAACTGGATGGTACCTAATAACAACAGTAGCTGAGGAGAAAGATGGGTCTTTCTGCTCCCATGAGGATTTGTTGTCACAGTCGTGGTTGCTGTTAGGTGCCGGCGACTCATTGTGCAACAGAACGGGACACTGGCTGGTCCTGTGCCATCCTCACAATTGTTCTTATGTTTGATAAAAAGCCTCTGAACAGTTCTACTCTGCCCTGTAGGGCTGCTGTGAGTCGGAACCGTCTCTGTGGCAGTAGGCAGACTCCCCAGTGACTGGCCACAGTAAAACCTCAATACAAAAGAATGGTGAGCGAGCAAATTGAGTAAGCCCCAGGACTGTGGCAGAGAAAACAGAACAGCACACAGATGAGGCCAGGGGCTAACGTCCCTCATAAAAGGTCAGGCATCTACCTGGACCTCAGAGATCTTTCGGTGTCAGGAAACGCAGCAGAACATGGCGTGGACAGCCAGCTCTGGAACCTGGTTCCTTTCATGAATTCAGTATTCTCATAAAGACTGGAAGATAATCGTAAAGTCTCATTCCGCTTAGTATTCTGATTCAGCTCAGTGTAGGACTGACTTGGGCAATGTGGGGCTACAAGAACACTCCCAGACCAAACTCACTGCCATCGAGTGGACACCGACTCAAAGAGAGCCTACAGGACAGGGTGGAACCGTCCCTGTGGGCTTCCGAGACTCTGACACTTTCCAGGTGTAGGAAACCTCATCTTTCTCCCGAAGAGCAGCTGGTGGCTTCCAACTGCTATCTTCGGAGTTGACAGCCAAATGTGTGACCCTCTCTACCACTGGGGATCCAATGGATGGCCAAAGCGGCATTCATTTCCAACCACTTATGTCCGACAGTGCTGAACAGGGACACAACGCCCCCAAAACCACTGTGGAGGGAGGATGGGCCTCCAGTACGCACAGTGCCCAGGAGCTGGGGTGGCAGGGGAAGAGGCTCACTCAAAGGAGCATGCCCGTGCACGACGGGCCAGCACTGGGCTGCGACCTCCCGGAGAAAGACGATGCCCTCTACTCTCGTCAAGATTTACAGTCGCAGAGACTCTTCGTTGGGTCCCTGCGAGTCGAAATCAACTCGAACACTGTGGTGTAGTTTGGGTTTGGGGTTCCTCCATCCACACAGCCTGGGTTCAGACCTCAGCTCCCCTGCTTACTAGGCAACCTTGGTCTATAACTGAACCTCTCTGTGGCTCATCTGCAAAATGGGAACCATATTAGTATCAATGACTCAGGGCTGTTACACTTTCACCGAACTCATCCTGTGGTACACTGAAAGCACACAGTAAACACTAATGAGGAAAGGCTTCCAACCTGCCCCAAGGCTGGGTGAAGCCCCAGCCACTAACTCAGCCCCAGCACTCCTATCCTCTCACATTGTGGGAAAAGTTGAGCTTGATGTCTCCTTTCCATTCTCCTGGAAAAACAGTTACAGCCCAATAAGCCTCTCTTCAAAGTTGTCCTTTAGGCAAAGATGTTCAAGATGAAGGCATACTTTCCTTAGTTTCTTTCCTCCAGCTTCCTCGGACTGTGACCATTTTAATATTGTTTTTCCTTAGGCGCCCTGGTGGCATAGTGGATTAAGGGTTGGACTGCTAATCCCAACCATGGTCAGTAGTTTGAAACCACCAGCTGCTCCTAGGGAGAAAGATGAGGCTTTCCAGTAACACCCACAGGGCAGGTCTACTGTGTCCTAGAAGGTTGGGATGAGCCAATGGCCATGGATTTGAGGGGGGTTTGTTTGTTTGTTTGTTTTTTCCCATACCTTAAAACTGGTTGCCTCTTCAATTCAGTGAATATGGCGGTAGCATTTTGGGTTCATTCCCAAAGCAGAGTTTCCATGACTCTGTGAATTGCATAGATTTTTTTCATGGGCTGACCTAGGAAATTTCATGTTTGTAATATTGTTTCTATGGGAATATTAATAAGAGAATATTTGGAAT